AAAAAAATTCTATTCAAATAAATAATTATTTAATATTTAAAAATTTCAAATAATTTAATAACTCATATCCATAATTTTATATATAAATAAGTAACTATATCCAAATTAAAAATAATTTTAATTATTTTAAATTTAGTTAAATATTAACGTAACATGCAGTAGTGGAGGAAAAGGAGAGTATAGGAGCTTTCTCTTCTTAAACTAGAGGTTTCCACTTTAGCTAATGCTCCCTAGTTTACAACTTTAATGATGCAGTGACCACAGTACATAAATATGCTAAAGTGCCTATTTGAATAAAGGATAAGAATAAGATTTAACATGAAATCACTATAACAGCTCATGCTAAAATAGAAATGACTACAAATATAGAATTGATGGTAGGAAACACATTCTTAACATCAGTACAGCCTTATAACATCCAACAACATTGTCTGAAGATTATCTTAAGTGGAAAAGTAGTTGTACCAAGATAATATGGAAACTAGTATCTATAGTGTATAGATATCCATTGGAATTAAGTATGAAGAATACAAAATTGAATTTTTTCATGCTTTTATAGACATAGGACCTGAGATATATTTGGCCAAAACCAATGTATTCCCAAAGTATTATTGGAAGAACGCCTCTCAAACTATGAAAGGTGTAGCCATAGATGGAAGTATTATTCAATATAAAACAATAATAGAAAGAGTTACTATCATAATTGGTGGAACGAAAGTTATAATTCCCCGAGTCTATGAAAGTAACAAACATATGAATGGCATTCTATTAGGAAACAATTTCCTAAGTCAATTCAACCAATAAGTTCAAACTGCATCATATGTAAAATTTTATACACTTTGTGGATGTTGGCTTTACACCTTTAGAATTTATAATGCTTATACTAGAGCAATAGAACCATTAAATTTTCGCAGCCAATGTGGTGAGGATAATAGAAAAATTCTATCAAAAGAGATTAGAGAATGTGATGCCTCAGATTTTTAATAGGGAGTAGCTTTGAAAATTTCTTAAGAAAAAATTTGTAGATATACTAGTGGTACATTCTAAGATGTCAAAAATAGATATCATTCAAATCATAAAGAATTATTGACCATTAAAAATGGAATAAAAAAGTTTAGTGTCTTTTTATTACCAAAACATTTTAAGATTGGAATTGACAATACCTAAGTTAAGGGATTTATTTTTAATAAATTACCTTTAATACCAGAATATAAAAGATTAAATGGATGGAAAACATTTTTTGCCAAGTATGATTTCGAAATTGAACATGCCAAAGGGACTAATAGTTGTCTTGCAGATTTCTTGAGCAAAGAAAGAACTAATGAATGAAATCTTGAAACTCCAAAATAAAGGAAAGGCCTTATTCTCAAAGGTTAAAAGATACTCATTGAAGGCAATAGCCAAATAAGAGAAGGCCAAGAAAAAATGATCAAAGGCCAAGAGATAATGGATGAGGGCCATAACCTCATAGATGAAGGCTAAGAAAAAATGATCAAAGGCCAAGAGATAATGGATGAGGGCCATAACCTCATAGATGAAGGCCAATAAAAAATTATTAAAGCCATGAGTCATTGAATAAGGGACAAGATGCCCTTGAAGAAGTCAAAGAGCTGATAGAAAAATTAATGAATTCTGGAGTAATTACTATTGTTGGAATCAACTCAAGAGAATCTAGCCAGATGGCAAAGAAAAGCTCCCAACAAAAGCTAAAAGAAAAATTTGAACAAAGTGATCCTTCAATAGGGTTACTCGGAGAAAGTTCAAGGAAATTTGACAATTATGTCAAATACTCTTCCCTAGAAATATCAGCATCTTAAGCTAAAAAGACGTCTATTCAAAATGCCAAAAATCATAACTTTTGACCTGATTACTCAAGAAAGAAAGAAAAGAAAGTTACAATAATAGACACCTTATCAAAAATGATAATGAGTGAAGAATATCCATAGGAATACCGTAGAGTTTGTAAAATGGCATATTCAATGAGGTCTATTGAGAATTGCCATCCTATCCATGAAGGGATTTATCCCAAAATTAATTTCATGCAGGGTGCAAACCCAAAAGCAATAAAAGAATTATGCAATTATGATTTTGTAAATTGTATTTATCTCTCAAAAAATAGTAAAGAAGTTTTAGAACTTCCAAAAATTATACACCAAGAAGTGAAAGGCTTCAAGACTGGCCCCAAAGCTCAAGGGGTATTATTTGTCAAAATCTACTTTGTAGCACCAGAATGGGAGAAATCTCAATATTTCCCCCATCATCATATAGTTCAAATTGGAATTTAGTCCAAGAAGATCAAGTTGAAGCAACTTAAGATCAAAATTTTCAAGAGTTTGAAGAGTCTCTTTGTGGGATTAAGTTCATCCGAGAAAGACAAGCTCTAAGATTCAAGGTTTTACTCTAGACGTTTGACGGAATGATAGAGATGAAGAAGACATGGACATATGGCTTCTCCAATGAATTCTCAACAGTATCCACTGATGCCAGATTAATGACAAGCATAAGCCTATTCAAAATAAAGTGGAAAAGAAAGGAACTCTTTGAAAATTTGGTGCAAGCTAGTAAAGCAATCCATAATAGACTATGCATGCTATTAGAGTACGACAATCATTGTGGTTTTTACTAACAAAAGGAATTGGCAAAAGGAAAAGTTGAAGCCCCATGTGATGAAGAGACCACACCCTTAGACAGTGAAGAGGATCTCATCATTCTCTAAAGAGTCCAATGCAAAAAGATGTAAGCTCTTATGTCACTAAAGAGAACGAAGAGTGTTGGCAAGATTCCATGTAATCCGCTTTAGCAAAAGCAAGAAGCAAGTTTGGATTACCAGACAATAATGTAAACTTTAATTGTCAGCAATGACAGAAGAAAAGATTCTAAGAAGTGTTATAAAAAGCCTCCTATAAACTGTAATAGGTATCAAGCATTTGAATACCCAAATACCTTACCTGAAAACCTTCTACCATGCATTTGTAAACACCTTTCAAGAGGAAAGGGAACTTTCCCTTTCTTTTCTTAAGAATAAAAATATGTTTTAGAATAATTCTTGTGTTTCTAATCCTTCTTTATTTCCATCATAAAATACGATAAAAGGAATTCCTGAAGAAACTTTGGTAACAGTGAAGTCACTTGTCCTATTTGAATACCCATTGTAGCTAATTTTGGCATTGAGGGTTGGACAAAGGAAGCATTAGCTTGATTGAAGGTTAGACTAAAGGGTTCTCAAGTAAAATTCTAATTTATTTATTTTATCATGCAAAAGTAAGGTGGGCATAGAAACAACTTTATTATTCTTTAACATCAGATAATTTTTGAGATTAGAAATGATGGGGAATTATTAACTAACCTCTTAAACTTTAAATAGAAAAGTCCATTTTTATATCACGTCATTATACTTTAAGATACTTGATTTTATTCAATAAATTGTTGTAGATAAGAAGGTTTATAAGCAGTAATGAGAATATTATAGAAATAAAATAGTAAAAATTTTAGAAAAAATAAGTAATATTGAAGATGAATATCATCTATTCAAGAATCTTAAAAAATTGAAGCAAACAATAACAGATTTAAATGAAGATCTAAAAAGATTAAAGAAGGCTAAGCAAAGATTATCTTTATTAGTAGCTTAATAGATCTAATTCCACGTTTATTGAGCTTAACATACAAGATTCTCATTAATTAGTATTAGTCTAAGTTAGGTTCCAAAAACCCAATAAAAAGTTGGTATCAGAGCCATAAACGAATTAAAATACAATGATGTTAAGAATGTAATTAAGAAGAGAAGTTAAATTTTGTAAATAACGAATAGATATAATCTCAAAGATTATAGAATTAGAAGGGATGATCCCTCATAAAACTGATGGTTTATTATGGGATAGATATAATCTTGAAGTGAGAAGAGCAATAGCTGTGGAAGAATTAAAAATCTTAGCAAGATAAAATAAGAATTAGTTTTGAAACAAACTTAAGTTTAGGGACTAAAGTGTTAATTTAGCAAAAGATGAAAATTGAGCGTAATGGTTAGGATTGTAAAATGTTTGGTCAAAAGACAAAAACCCTTAGATTCGGTAAGTTAAAGGGTAAATAACCTTGACTTGTAAATTGGAGAGCAAAATCCCTTAAACACGAAAAGTTGAAGGGCAAAGCATAGGCATATGCTCAAATTACTTTGCCTAATTAATACTAAACACCTTTACTTAAAAGGAGAAATTACACATAACTTACTTGTGGTTTAAGGTGAGTGTATTTAAAGGCTTGTGGTATCAAAATATATACTTAAAGACTTGTGTTTTAAACCTTGAGCACTAAACCACTCCTGCCATCCAAATGATATTAAAATTATGTGCAATATCTTAAATACCCTTAACCTAAAAGATAAAAAAAAGGAGAGAAAAAGGTCAACCGTCACATATACTCTCTTTCATAACAATCTTCAAAGATTGACTCAAGTAAAGATGAAAACCAAATAAAATAACTCTTTGTAAGTAATTGAACAAAATTTTTTAATCTATTGTAGTTTATATTCCAAAGTGAAACTTTGCTTTTAATTTTTCTTTTATTGAATTTTTTGTGTTTAGTTGGAAATTTTGTTGCTTGTTTAGAATTTAAAAAGTGAGAATTTCATTTGAAAATTGAAAGGTTATACCTTGATCATCTACAGTTATAATTAATATATTCTTGATTTTATGCATATTTAGTTTTAATTAGTTTCAACAATACATGCTAATTATAAATATATTATACATGTGCAAATTTTTTTTTTCAATTGAATTACGCAAGTGGCTTGAATGTGGCTAATTAAAATGAATGAATGAATTAATTATTACCAATTTTTTTTTATGTATTTTGGCAAATCTATGGTAATGAGTTGCCTAGAAATGGTGAGATTGTAAGTGGTTCTAAAGAGTCAAACAAACTACAATTCAACTTTTAGCATTGGACAAGACAGTGGTTTTAGGCAAGACGAGCATAAGAGGAATTAAGATAAAAAGTGAAGTTTTCAGTTAGGTTTTTAACGACAAGAGTGTTTTGTTACTTATTTCAAAATATAGGTGTTTAAGTGCACTTTTTGATATCACAGGCCTTTAAATGCACTCACCCTAAATCACAAGTAGGTTAAGTGTAATTTCCCCTACTTAAAATTAGATGCATGGTGCATCCAACTACAACTTCTCCATCTCTGTCCAATTAAAAAGAAAAAGAAAAATAAAAAGTTACAATCAATGTAATTAACTTAAGTGCTAAACATTAATACAGAGAATGAAAAATAGGGAAAGCATAAAGATTTAGTTATACCTTTCTCCATGTTCCTCAAAGTATTCTCATTCTCCAAATTAGAAGCTTGTTTTTCTCTGGACCTCAACCAATCTTGCGTACAAATTAGTGCCTGAGTCATCCTTGGGGTTAAAAAGCTCCTAAATGGATCAAGAACTAGACCCCCAATGCTAAATGCAGCTTCAAAAGCCACAGTAGAGATTGAGACAACCAACACATCCCTATCCATTGAAGCTAGGATGGAAAACCTTGGACCATGGACTTTCCACCACTTAAGAATGTCAAACTCCTCATCAAATGGCTCTGTTTCATCACTCAAGTACTTCTCCAACTCTGACTTCTCAGCATTGCATTCAATTTCTTCTTTATACCTTGAATATTCATTCATTAGGTATGTCCTCCTCTATTTAGTTAGCTTAGGCTCCTTCATTGCAAGGTTACCTACATTCTAAATTGATTGTTGGGTAGAAGATTGGCCTCTAGTATGAAAAAATGAAAAGAAAAAAGAACTATTACTTAAGTTATATAATTAAAATTTATAATATTCCAACCTTTAATTATAAATTATAAAGAGCAACATAAAAGAATCATCCCTTTAAACCAAAACTAATATGCTAACCTTTCCAATACATTGTTAGAATAGTGTTGGCGCTTGTATGCTTCAAACAACTTGAAGCATTCAGCTCTCACCATCTCCCCATAAGCTGTACCCTTAACCTCACCAAACATCCTTACCATAAAAAATTACACAAAGCCAAGCTTGTGCCTTGGGTCCAAAACTATAGCAATGAAGATGTTCTTATTCATCTTCAAAGGATCACCTCAGTACTTGTCATACTTATCCTTCATTTTCATAACCATTTGACTCAAATTAGCATAATTTCCCCACAGTTTAAGAAGCCTGTCCACTTCACAAATTATTGGAAAATATAAGTTTGAAATGGTATACAGACTTCTAGAAACTTTCTCTATCATGAAATCGAATGGTTCCAAAAACATCACTAGCCTCCTTATGCGTTCCCAATCGATACAAGATGGGAACCCTAGACTAAATTTCAATTCAATCCTCATGGCTGGATCATACCTTGAATACCTTCAAATTATACAACAAAAAACTATTAGAATGATAGCAATATATGAAAATATAAGACAAAAACTAAATTATTAGAATGATTATAATTTATAATAATAAAATAATATAAAAGGAATATAATTAAATTAATAAAATGATGATAATACATGAAAATAAGCCAAGTAAACTTCTCAAATGGATAAAACTAACTTTTCAAATGCCATTTCAAACTTGTCTATAGTATCAAGCATTAGGTATAAAGAATTCCACCTATGTTGCACATCCAAGGACAACAGCTTCTTGGCGTCAATTTTTTCAACCTCAACAACCTCCTTGAACCTCATTTTTCTTTGGGAACTCTGCCTAATATATTTGTAACTAGCTTTCACAGAAGCAATGGAATTATTCATCAACTTGGCTCCATCTTGTACAACCAATTTAATGATATGTGTTGCACACCTCATGTGCAGTTCATCCCCACCTAGAACACTTGTACTCCACTTGTTTAAAGCATTCTTAAGCACCCTCACAACTCGATCATTAGAAGATGCACTATCAACAGTTATTGTATACACCTTCTCAACTCCCCAATCCTTTAAACAAGTTTCAACTAAGTCACCTAACTCTTCTCCCTTATGAGAACCAACAAGGCATAAATTAACTATTTTCTTATGCAACCTCCAATTGTCATCAATGAAATGGGTAGTTAACTCATAAATGATAATTGGGTTGATGAGTTCCAAGTACCAGTTGTTAAGGAGACTCTTTGCTTTGGTTCCCTAAAGTAGTTTCTAAGGATTACTCTCTTATCAAGATAGATTTCATAATAGAGTTTGGTTATACACCTTCTAAAGGGAAGCTTGAAACTAGGGGGCAAAGCAACTTCACAGAATCTTTTGAATCCTAATTTTTCAACAATGCTAAATGGATTCTCATAATTTATCATAATTTTATCCAAAACGCTCTTAACAACCTTTTTATCAAACTTCCAAGAGCTTAGTTGAGTGACACCCTGTCCATCCTCACCATCTCCAACAACATAATACCATTTTAAACCAAGCAATTTTTGATTCTTTAACATGTCAAGGTTCTTTTTACATTTAGGTATATGATTTCTCATTGAAGAGGTGCCATTAAGCCTAGAGTCAGCACTGTATATCTTTCCACAATAGTTACATTTTCCCTTCCTTTTGCCTTTTTCAAAAAACTTAGTAAAGTGTTGCCATACCACGGAAGTTTGGCATGCTTTAGAATCTTGATTCCTCTATTTTCCCTTGTCTTTTGCTATTGGGCTGTCTTCTAAATTTTCTATGGGAATAACATTAGCATCCTCCATGTGAAGATCATCTTGCATATAAATCCAAGTTCAAGAAAAAAAATATTAAATAGATTATCATTTGACAAGTTCTTGAAAATTGAGTTTACAAATCTAATATTAAGGATCTAATCTAGAATTAAAAAAAATTGAACCAAAAATACTAACATTAGGGTTCATAGTAAGATTCCTTGTTTATTGATCCTCCTCCATAATATGACAAATTCTCCTTAAAAGAAAAATACAGTGTGATGGATTAGAGTCTATCAAAATAATATACATATATATATATATATATATATATAAGAACTCATATAGAAATTTGAATGACAAGAGTATCAAGTTTTGGTTTGTTATTAAAAAAATAAAAGACCCAGACAAATTTCTATTATAGAAAAAAGGTTAGGGTCTATTATTAGAGAGAAAGTTAGAAGAAAATCCATATAGAAATTTGAAGAAAGGTTAGGATTTGTTGTGGAAAAAAAATTAAAGGAAAACTATAGAGAAATTCTAATTACAAAAGAAATTATGTTATCATTTGAAAAATAGAAAGAAAAATAAGAATCTCAAATTAAGTTACTCTTACCAATGAGTGACAGTGAAGAAGAACTGCACTTCTAAAGATTAGAGACTGAAGACAAGACTTGGAGGATGGAGAGAGGGCTTTCAGTATTTATACTTAACGATTATGGTTTATTTTAGAATTTTTTATGGCAAAAATCTTGGAAGGCGGAACAAAATTGTAGGAGGTGATAAAGTTTCTCAATAGTTGAGCGGTAAACAATTGAAAATATTCAATGGGTGTTAGTTTTATGAGCCTACCACGCGGTTTCATAGTTTCAAAGCCCAACAACCGCTTATCGCTTGTTGGGCTTCGGTTTTCAACTCACAAGCTGGTATGTTCCAGCCTGTAATCGTCAAGGCCCGACCTATTGGTAATTTTGTGGGTGGTTTAAATGCAGAACCATGGCCTTGTAGAAAAAAACCCAACCCTAAGTGATATAGGAACAATTTTTTTTGTACAATTTTCTATATAACTTTCACAACTCATTAAATAAGTAGATATATTTAATATCATAGGTTCTAAATGACTAAAAAGAGTTAGTCATTTAAATGACATATAAGGTTGTACAAAAGACAATACAAAAAAATTATCCCTAAATTATTTTCCATCTAACTATAGTGCATTTTCGAAACATATCCTATAGGGATTAAGCCCCTATAATCTACAACTTATAGTGGCTAAATAGTGGTTAATAAATTAATGAAAATGATGTAATTATAATGTTACATAATATTGTAAATTTAAAATATGATATATCATTATATAATTAGTTTATTTAGAAGTTTACTTATGATATTAATAATGTGTGTTCACTTATTTAATAACATATTATACTAATTTAATAACATTATGATTTTAAATTTATAATTCTTATTGTAACTATAGCATTGTTGATAAATTAGAGCTAAATAAGGGTTAAGTCTATCCAAAAAGATTCTTTTTTATGCAAAGAGGATTATAGATCAGAAATCTTTGGCTCCTAGAGTATCACAAATCTTCCATTAAAAGAAATTACCTGATCCATGGTTTTCTAAAGCATTCGTAGTTTCATCCGGAACTCCAATCACCACATCCACAATTTCAGAAATTAACAAAAAAAAAAAAAAAAGCCTCAACACTACTCCTACTTCTTTTCCTATTACTCCCAAAGTTGTAATTTTGGCGTAATAGGCTTAATGTAATAAATCATCTATTAACTATTATCTTTTTTTCATTTTAGTCTAGATACTTTACTTTCTTTCAGAGTCATCTATTAACTTTCAAAACTGTTTCATTTTCGTCTATCCCAAATAACTCCGTTAATAGAGTTAACGAAATTCTACGTACGGGATGACGTGCTGCCATGTAAGCAGCCACACGACAGGAGCAAATTTCCACTAGCAGCATTGTTTCTCTTTCTTTTTTTTTTTTTTTGGCCACATCATGGGGCAAATTTCCAATAGCATTTTTTCTCTTTCTTTGTTTTTTTTAATCACATCTCGGGAGCAAATTTGCCACGTCATTGTTTCTCTTTATTTTATTTTTGTCACCGTTTTTCTTTAATTAAAACAATTGATCATTAGAAAAACAATAAAA